CTAGATATTCGAGATCTTGCTCTAAAATGTGACTTTATCGTTTTCATTTTTGCCACTTGTACTTTAGTGCAATAATGAAGTTTTATCTAAAGTCATAATGCACTGCTGCAAGTAAGTTATAATTTTTATTTGAGAAATGCGAAAATACATTAAGAAATTACCCGAACAAAAATTATATTTAGGTATATAGTATTACTTAGATAATCCTGCCCATGCCGAGCCAAAGAAGAACACTTAGCTTTATATCTGTAATTATTATTGATCGCGTTTAGTGTAGAATACATTTTACATATTGGTAGCTCTATTTAAAATTTGTTTAGAAAGAGGTATAATCGAAGTTGTTTGGTTTGTTGAATGTCACGCAAAGCTACTCGAAGGCTATATCTACGCTAGCCGTCCCTAGCGAGCTGGTTGGCTGCTTAAATCGAGTATTTGGGGTGTGATCGTCACCCTTATAATGTACTCACGGCCCCAAAGTGCTGAACGCAATTTTTTTGGGGGGTAGGTAACGGGACATGAATTACGGAACCTTTGATCCATAGTCTGGCACGCTAACAACAATTAAATATAAATAATCAATATCACTTGTATGAAGGAACATAAAAACTTGTGCTATCCAAAGTTTCATAGCTTGCTCAAAGATAAAGAATTTACTCTAGGAAAGTCATCAGATTCAGCTTACTGTTGCCCAGACTTCAGTTTGGGTACATCTAAAGTGAGGTAACATTTACTAAAACATTGTTTCGTAAGTACATTTGGAATGACAATTTTAATTTAAAAGTTATGTTGTTTCGGCTAGTAACAATTTAATTTTTTTGGGGGGATTAACTAAAGTAACAATAATAAACGAGTTAGCTGTGGAAAAATAATTATAAGATATAAATTTCATTAAAAACAAATATCTAGAGAAAAAATTTGACTTACTTGAATCTTCTAAGCTGTAGCATGTCTTATGAAGAATACCATTGTAAAACTCAAGGCCAATAATTGCAAAAATGACAATGGCAAAAAGCACCAAAAGGCCAATTTGAAGGAGAGGCGCCATAGCCTTGATAATAGATTTTAATACTACTTGAAGACCTAAAACAGAAAACAACATAGATATTCTATTCCAGTGAAAACAGAGAATAACAAAGATATTCTATGAGAGTGAGTATTCTTTAAACAATCTTGTGTAGAAAGGTGTCCGAAATATGCCAATCCCAACAGAACAACATGGCTATTGAGTGAGTATTCTTTAAACAATCTTGCGTAGAAAGGTGTCCGAAATATGCCAATCCCAACAGAACAACATGGCTATTGATATAATCAGCTTAGAGGTAATTCTAAAACAAATTTCTTCACTGTTATCATTTCCAGAAATTCGCAGTTTGTTGTTGTTCTTGTAATCCTTTATACAATTTAATGAAATAGTAACGTAAACTGCTCGCAAGGACACTCTCTAGAGGGTGCAGTATCAGTGACACATCTTGTGGTTCTAGCACAATTCAAGAGGTGTGCAGAGATGGTGATATCTTCTGTGGTTCCAAGGTGAGCAGATAATGGGCTGACATGATAATGTATATTGTGATTTCAATATTGCATGTTTGTGTTTTTACTACAGCCTGATTATAAGAAGTAAAGAACAAACTCGACATTAACCGGGAGACAAAGAACTCGAGAACTTCTGATTTTCCAATAATATTACAAGTGTAATATCTATACACTGCAATTTACTGCTTCTGGTGTAATGTATAAAAGCATTCCCCTAATATCTATACACTGCAATTTACTGCTTCTGGTGTAATGTATATAAGCATTCCCCTAATATCTATACACTGCAATTTACTGCTTCTGGTGTAATGTATAAAAGCATTCCCCTAATATTATACACTGCAATTTACTGCTTCTGGTGTAATGTATAAAAGCATTCCCCTAATATCTATACACTGCAATTTACTGCTTCTGGTGTAATGTATATAAGCATTCCCCTAATATCTATACACTGCAATTTACTGCTTCTGGTGTAATGTATATAAGCATTCCCCTAATATCTATACACTGCAATTTACTGCTTCTGGTGTAATGTATAAAAGCATTCCCCTAATATCTATACACTGCAATTTACTGCTTCTTTTGCTGGATACAGAAATTAACTTTAAGTCAGTAAACTTTGAGAGAGAGAGAGAACAGACCGATCGATTTAAGAAACAGTAATTGTAAGACAAATGAACATTATATTGATTCACAGTAAATATCAATTAGGAAAAAAACACTGTAAGTACAATAGACTGATTACTTTATAATTTAAAACTAAATTGTTTTTAGTCTTTTTATTTGTATTTTTTTTTCTATTTGTAATTAAATAATATGACAAGCCTACGGTAAATGTCATTAAGTGTAATACTGTGATGTATCTCGTCTTTTATTTCAACAAAAATATTTCATCTTCATCAATTTGAACGTTTTAACACTGGTTAATGAGTTGACTTGGTTTAACGGTTATTAGTTACATCATCTTCAACTTACTATTAATGACAGACAGCTAAGCTGTTTTATTTGCACTTAAAATAACAAACTGAGCAACGTGTTTCACATTCTCTAACACTATGTAGCTAAAAATTACAATCATTACATTGAAAAGTATTATAATAAATGTTACAATATAACTTGATAATACTACCCTATTTATACAATATTATCCGCAAAGCCTCTTAATTCTTAGTACCTTTATAAAAACAATATGGCGTAGGGTAGATGTAAAGGCTGTTGATATGTGATTTATTATACTGAAATTTGGGTTCCTATACATTAGTTATTAGTATTAGAATCTACGTGTCGTTTTGTCAGTTTTTTTGTGGTTCATTCGATACGAGAATTCGTTCTTGATATATATTTTGATGGAAAGTACATAAAGAAAAACGAAGCGTGAAGTCGATATTTTACTTGGTGTGAGGTTATAATCTGAGACAAGAGCCCCTACTTACTTGGAATCCCAGAAACGAGCTTCAGAGGCCGAAGCACTCTTATAGCTCTAAGTGTTCTCAAATCTACTTCTAAGTTATCAGATGCATAGGAGGTAATGAACCTGTAAAAAGGGAAAACAAAAACAGGGTCTAGCCCTACAGGAAAACTACGATGGTTTCTACAACTATTTCTAAGCCTTACGGACTACTGGGATTTCTGGAAACTCAACCATCTAGAAGTTAAGGAAATAGAGAAGAATGGGTAGGATCCTTTTCAGGAGAAATTAACAGTTTCTCGTTCGATGAAAACTCATTTTATTTAGAAAATAAATGGCTATAACAACATTTAAAATGATTTGATTTTGAATTACAGTGAATGAAATACTGATTTGTTTTAAACTTTCAGTTAACAGAATATATATGGCTGACTATAACATACTGCAAAATTATTTTTGTATTTCAAAACTACAGACCCAGTATTTTGAAAAAGGAAATATTTTCCTTAAGCCATGAAAACAGTGATTGGCCTGAGCACGAATCTACGACATTACTAACTAAGCTAATGTGCTAGTTAACCTAGCTATCGTCTGACTTCTCAGCTTATACTTCTTTGGGTGTTATGGGCGAATTTAGGAATGATTCTTAAATTATCAAAATCCATTATGGCTATCTTCATTGGAAAACTGGCCTTAAATGGCTTAAGTACAAGAGTTTTAATTGTTGAACTCTATTCTATGAAGCTAAAAGTTATACTGAAAAAGTTAAACCTGAAAGTGGGTGGGACTCGAACCCACAACTCTACTAGTTGAGTAGCTTAGCTGTTTTTGCCTCAAGTGCTGCAGTCCTCACCTTTCACTTCACTGGTCATCAAGGTCGAGATTAACCAGAAACAACTACTCTTGAATATATTATTATATTATATTATATTAAACTACAAAAACGTTTTTATCTAGTTTCCAGAGAGATATGGAATTTTTAGTATTTTCATAATGCTTAAAGATGAGCACAGCTAGAATTAATTCGTGTGAAACTTTACAGCAAAATGTAACAGCCAAAACAAACCAGTTTTGTGAAGTTTAATGAAAAAAAAACACGAAATTTTGCCATCGAATGTAAATAAGTAGTACAAAATTGATTTTGCACTAAAACTAGTTGTAATTTATTTGCTATTTCTTTTTACCTGAAGGTGATGGTTTCGACTATAGGAAGTCATATTCACTATATTTATATGAGCTTAATATTTTTAAATTACACTGTCCTCTGTTTCTAACTACCATAAATTCTAACGGGACTATAATTCGTATATACTATGGAAAAATATAATGCAAACATTAAACAAAATACAAAATTTTATAAATTGTCTACAAAAGCAAAAACATAACATCATATCAATAACTACAAACACGGACAACGTGGTAAAAATCTAATTTAAAAATACAGATAATTGATTAAAATCGTCTTAAGAGAAAAGTATAATGTAGTTCACATAGTTATGTTAACCTTACTTTGATTTTTAGCTATTTCTTTGAGCTTCATTATCTGACCCATTTAGAACTACAAACTGTAGTACACAAAAACAAGTCTTTTTCTATACGTCCACTTTTATCTTTAGCAATGAATATATTCTTGCACATTCTCACATGAAAAAAGTCTCACATAAATGAGTTATTCCAGTGAAATCTTTAGCACTAACATTTCGTGTTTTCCATTTACCAGTTTAGAGATAAACATCAGAGTACCAGTAAGCGTGAAATACTTACCCCGTGACGACTACTACAAAATCCATGATATTCCAAATGTTACGAAGATATGAACCTTTGTGTACTATAAACCCCAATGCTACAATTTTCAGTAAGGCTTCTACACAGAAAATACCAAGGAAATAGGGTTCTGTTTTCTCCTGTTGGAAAAAAAAAGAATCAGATAGTTAGAATATACACAAAAAATGAAGAGTACAAGATACCTGAACTTCTCTATTTTTCTTTATATGTACGTATGTATGTGTGGGGGGGGGGAGGGTTAAAAATGATATCCAACTCCTCAAACTAATAATCGTTTCATAAATGTTTCCCTGCAGTTTTTTGGGTTCGCCTATAACGAGGAATCAATATGTATATGATTGCTAGTGTTTAAATCTAACCAGCCATGTAGTTAATGTATAAATTTTGTTTCAAGAACAATCTTGTTAGTGCTTGCTTTGTTTCTCCTAACGATCTATAAGTTTAGTTTCATAACACGTGTGTGTTATATGAGCTGGAAACGGTGATGTTTCACAACTTGGATTAAATCAACTCATATTATCAGGAATTTGTACACTGGTTTAAAACGTACAAGAAAAGTAATTTAGTTTTGCTCATAATGGAAGTATTTATTTAGTTTATTGTGCGACTTAATCTTTTTAAGCGATAATTATTTAAGAAATATTAATATGTACATTATTTAAACACTCGTGTGTGAAAAACAATTTTATAATAAAATATTGCATTGTTATATGCTCTAAGGTAAAAAAATAGAACGTCAAAGTAAAAAGAAAATATCTCTGCTAACAATATTCTACTTTGTTTCGGAAAACCACGTAAACCTACACAAAGAGTTATTTGTGTTAAATCTCTCTATTTTCCACTGATAGACAGACTAGAAGTAAGACAGCTTCGTAACAACACCCACCACCAACTCTAAGTCTACTTTAAATGAACAGTGGGATTTCATTGTCATTCTTATAACGCACCCACGGCCATTAGACCCTGAAATACACATTAAGATACGATTACCATTAGGCCATGCTCGGTCCAATGTTTTAGTTGCTAATTGCTTATTACGAAAATTGTCAACTTGCAACAGTGCAAGAATAGTTGAAAAAACAAGAAAACGGCATTTATTTATCGTTTATGGATCATATTACATGATGTACGTAAAGTGAAATTTTACATTATAATATTTATTTTTATTTTTTTGAAATTATGACGTTGTTTATATATACATTACACCCTTAGCTTTTCTTAAATATATGTTTACATAGATATATACGTTGTGATTTATTTGAGTTATGTGGTCAACTGTTGACTTAATTATAAATGTTTTGCCTAAAAGTACGTTTCTGTCATATCAGTTTGTAAAGCTAAATACTGCTGATTAGCTTCAAGTTTTGATACAAACAAAATTACTAGCAAAACAAAATATAATAAGTTTATTATTCATGTACGTTTTGGTTAAATACTCTCACAGTGAAGAGTAAAACGCCCATTGAACAGCGTTTTTTTTCTTCAGTCTGATTATAGCCTAACGAAATTAAGCTCTGAATTATTGAGCGAATATTTGTTTTACAAAAGTCTCAGTTCACAAACACAGTTGTTGCTTTGGGCTCAAGTAACAACTTAGTAGTAAATTTTGATAAATATATGCGATCTCAAAATGTGATACTGCAAAACATTTTAGAATGAAATAATAAAGCAATCCTTCTTATAATACTGTAAAAAATCCCCCCATTCAATTAACTATTCGATATCATTAAACACAGACATTATCAAAACACTTACGAAAATAGGTCGATAATTGAACCTTCAACTTGTTTGTAGTTAAGCACAAAGCTACACAAAGGGCCATTAATGATCTGCCCACCACGGGTATCGAAACCCGGTTTCTAGCATTGTAAGTCCGCAGACATACCTTCAACTTAAGATAATTTTTTTTATTTATTTATTTTTTCTCCAAACTTATTTCGTTATAGGAGCTTTCACTTACACTAAGAAAAATCAGAATGCACTCATTGTAAGAATGAGTATTTATATTACTAAGTGAATATAAACAAAAAATACTTACTAATTTCTGGGCTAAGGGCGTTCTATCTCCTTTCGGAAGGTGCTCCTCTAGTGCCAGAACTATACAATTGGCTATGATTGTTAACAGGACTGCATACTCAAAGGGAGTGAGATGATCGTTAAGGAATTAACATTGTTATAACAGTAACATCAATATTTAACACAAACAAAAGATGGCTAATTTAATGTAAAGTTTAGCCACTAAATGTTATGGACCAAAGTTGATGCGTGTGATGCCAAAATAACAAAGATAATTGTGTTTATCGGAAAAATTACAAAATATTAAAATAAGATATATTAAATTTAATCAACCATGACAACGCACAATTTTTACGAAAGATGCACGTCAAGGAGAGGGTTTGCTACATCATTTTGTCTGCAAAATTATTCTAAAACACCAATAAATCTTGAAATATAAGAATGCAATGTGAAAATGTATAGTTTTGGTCATGTGTAATAAATTTCAATGTGAAAATATAAACCATATATGCTAAAACCCAAGAACTATGCCACTTGTCTTTGAAACATACATATTTCTCCGAGCGAAATTCGGGGGATTATTTTTTCTGGGTTTTTACCTAAATGTTCTACGGTTTTCATAACTCGTCTAACAGTTTCAGCTAATATTGTTATATTTCAGTAATTATAGATTAATTTCCATTAATGTATCATTGAAATGTCTCAATAAAATAACCACGAGACCAATTAGTAATATAATCAATATATTTTCTAATTATTAAAACTACCAGGAACAGTTTTAAACAGCCTACGTTTAGCAATTTTAATCTCCTCAATTTTTTAAGCTAAAATAACTCACAGTTTCAAATATTTCACATAACAAAAAATGTCAGCATAAAATTGCCAGGATAATTCAAACAAGGTATCATTGGAAAAACAGTTACTGTTTTAATAGCTAAGGAAAGTGAATTATTCCAAAAACAAAAAGACGACTCGCATGGAAGGACATTTTGAGATTAACGCAGATAAAATTTATAGTGGTAATTGTTATATCAAATAAATATTTTGTATTCAGTTGAACAATGTATTTAGTTCGCATTTTTATACGTTGTTATAGTATTGTTTGTTTTGAATTTCACCCAAAGCTAC